TTATGGCTGAACTCCCACCCCCTCTTATAGTGAGGGGCAGGGTTATGGCTGGACTCCCACCTCCTCTTATAGTGAGGGGTGGGGTTATGGCTGGACTCCCACCTCCTCTTATAGTGAGGGGCGGGGTTATGGCTGAACTCCCACCCCCTCTTATAGTGAGGGGCGGGATTATGGATGATCTCCTACCCCCTCTTATAGTGAGGGGCGGGGTTATGGATGATCTCCCACCCCCTCTTATAGTGAGGGGCGGGGTTATGGCTGAACTCCCACCTGAGGGGCGGGGTTATGGATGATCTCCCACCCCCTCTTATAGTGAGGGGCGGGGTTATGGCTGAACTCCCACCTCCTTTTATATCATACATTTATAGGTTTGCTTCTTGTCCCCGCCCCCTCTCATTGCCATGTTCATCCTTCGGAGTGTTTTCTGTCAGAGCAGTACAAGGAGGAGGTGTTTACTATCAGAGCAGTAGAAGGCCACACCCCCCTCGTGACGCCATTGGTTACTATGGTAACTATCTGGTGGAAGGGGGGACACGCCGTCTCTGAATGGAGTTCCGTTGAATATACAATCTCTGAATCCACAGAGTGGAAGTTTCTGCCCCGTGACAGGTTCTCTTCTCATAAGATCGCCATCTTCTTGTGGTGATTTTCCTGGGGCCTGAAGGTTCCCCTCCTCCAATACATCTTCCCCGCCCACTTCTTCCGGCCATTCCTATATCTGGTGACCCCCCCGTCCTCCATACTTGTCTGTCCTCTCCTCTCTAGGAGTCAGGTGGTGACCTCTGGCCACGGTGAGACGCCATTTTTGATATGACTGACTGACTGATCTTCTGACCGACATCTCATTGACCGGACGTTCAACTCCAAGCCTCTCTTTGACCACGCCCCGGGAAACTTGAATAACCTCCTCTCATAGGAGGAGATACATGGAGCACGCTATCCCCGCCCCCTCCCTATTCCTTGCACGTTATATCAATCTCAGGTACCCCACTCAATATGGCCGCCGCTTGAGTGGGGCACCTGAGATTGATAACGTGCTGTTTCTACTAAGGCCAAACCTCTTAGTTCCAACTAACCCGGAAATCAGGCAGTTGGAGAGCTCGAGGAGTTGGAGCCTCCGATAGAACACCCCGCCCCAATATACCATTTACAGCCCGGAGCTTCCGCT